CCCTGTACCAGGGCCCAGTATCCAGGGAAGTAGGATGCCTCCAACACATCAATTGATACTTGGATCTACTATCATTTACAGTTCAATAAATTGAACATCTGGTTAATCACCTTGTATTTAGTTCCACAATAGTTGTACAAAAGTGACAGATTTCAGTCCAACACATCAATTGATACTTAGATCTACTATCATTTACATTTCAATAAATTGAACACCTAGTTAATCACCTTGCATTTAGTTCAACAATAGTTGTACAAAAGTGACAAATTTTAGTCCGATACATAAATTGATACTTGAATCTACTGCGGTGAACTAAGCAACTTGCCAATGAACATATCAAGAACTAAGGTAAGTACAAAATAGATGAAACTAGAATAGGAATCACATTTCTTTCTCAAAGGTATGAATTCTTCCATCACCTTTGTTGGAACCCTCGCCATTTCTTCATTCTATGGCATAATCACTTCCTCCTCCAGCAGATGTTCTTCATTTGTTGTAACATTGGCCTCCGCCTTCAGCTCCCAAATCTTGTTACATAAATCCAAAATCAAAATCCTCAGAAATTTTCCATATTGGGGATTGTGCCACTTAAAACCCCCGCAATCTAAGTCGGGCTACGAAAAAACCAAATTACCATAAGTACATCAGGATTTTAGCATTTGCATTGCGAAAATAGAATGAACAAGAAAGAAATCGAGTTACATTATTTGCCCTACAACATCTGTGGTACCGACGTCCTAGGTTTCCATCACTCCACGAAATCCACCGAGGCGTCTTCAAGCCGCAGCGACACAAAAGTGGTGGCTGGTATGCATAGGGGTGGTTCTCGACACGACACGGGATGGGCGGCCCCCTAACAGTTGTAGCCTCCTCCGCTGGAAGCCGGTGTTCTTCTCACAACGGCGTCCTAGGATGGCATCGACCACTGGGAGGAGTTGGGGCTTGATGCAGCCATTGAGCAGTCAGGGTTCAAAGTGTTGCACACTTTGAGTGAAGAGGTCGGCCTAGGTCTTTTGTCTACGCTTTTGCCTCCTGCCAAGGCGCCAAAATATCCTTCAAAACCCTCGCACTCCCGCCAAGATGAAATGTTGTGTCATTGGCGGTTCAGGGTACTATTTGCCTGTAGAAGAAGGCGGTTTTGGATCCTCTATGCTTACATAGAGGTGTACATGTGGACCACAATCAAGACCAACTGAATCAATTAACAGTTCAACCGAAGTAATAGTTCAACGATTATGCAGTACTCATACATACTAATCAAGAGGTTTCATCGATACATATAAACTTCATTGACATAAAAGTTTCACAAATTCTAAGACTTAATGTCGAATGGGTAGGCAGTTGCTAAGGTACTCAATTGGTTGATGTGGTCCCGAAAGCCAGAGGTAGTGAACCGTAGCGAAGATAACAGCATCTCCATCCATGGACACATTGTATCTATAAAGTATGTCTACTTCATTTCCAGTCCTACAAAGCACAAAAATATCTCCACAAACATGGTCTTGAACGATTCTTGTCAAATTTTGTGGCCCGATAAGGTGATGAACAGTGGCTTCAACAATCAACAGTCGGTCCGGGTGAATGCTCCATCCCCAAGTAGCAAACAACATCATCTGGGGTCCTGGTGCCACCCCTAGCCGCCAAAACGCAAGGTTGCTCGCATTGAAATGGCTTCTTCCGAAGTAAGACATCTGTTGCAATGAAGAAATTCCTAATATGAACAAAACTAATACCGAACCCAAAACCAATTGGAACCAAAATGCAAACAAAGGGGTGATCGAATCCATCTAACCGTGACGGGGCGTTGTCCACGACGACAATGCAAGGTGCTCGAGGCAGGGCAAGTACAGGCGACGGGTCAAAATGAAGATGAAGCAACGAGTCGAGAGAATAAAGATGAAGCAACAATGAGTGGGGAGAACTAATTCATATTGGGATTTTTTAGTTGGTCGAACCGCTGCCAAGGCGTCGACGGGACCCGAGGGGAGTCGGGAATGGATCGGACGCTTCTAGGTTTGTTGCCAAATGGACGGTCTAGATTGATCGGCAGCGAGAACGGACGGTACGGGATAAGTTAAACAGTGTCCATATTAAGCCGACCATTACCACGCTAATCCAATGCTATAATACGACGATTGTCAGCGGTTAAACTACTTTTAGATGCCCCTGGAAACAACTGCAACCATACATGATAGTTTTTTCCTTTTCATTCACAAATATATAGAAAAATAAAAAAACATTCGTCGAGAGATCAAATCTGTGCACTGGCATTTGGAAGTAGTATTGGAAAAAACTTGCTTTGCATTGCATATAAAAAAGGTGGCATTGAAGAGATCAAATATGCATGAATATAATTTTTTTCATTGATTGATTATATATATCTAACATATAGATACAATTTGGACAAGTATATGATTGTACTCGTCCGGAAGCATAATAACTAACCTAAACTATTAAAACTACTTATACTAACTATAAACTACTTAATCCTCGCTCGCTTGGGAGGAGGCGAGGCGAAGTCAGAGTCGTCGTCGTCGTCTTCGGCATCGGCGTCGTTGTCATCCTCGTCCTCCTCCTTCGGGTCCTCCTTCTCGGAGCTCCACGGAGGACTATAATCAGACGTCCCGTCGTCGGAGGAGACGTTCTCCTCGGAGGAGTGGTGGGAAGGCAATTCGTCCTCGCTGGACGATAGGCTGCTTGGAAACTTGATGGGGTTGTCCGATATTTTCTTTGTAGATTGGAAGAGAAGGGGACGATGGATGAACAAGAGGGGTCGTTTTAGAGGGCACCGAACCTGAAATATATGTAGAGCAGTGGGTGGGTACGTGGCTCTTAGCCTTCAGGCGGCAGAAGTAATGGTGATTTGATGATCATGGAAGTTGAGGCAATTCAACACTCACGCTAAATTTACCGTCAGTTGACCAAACACTACTTTAGGGCCAGCGGACAAAATGCGTATCCCAGTCGGCCTGGCTTTTCATGCGACGGAGAAAATGCAACCCCAATACCACTACCGCATCTATCGTTAACCAGTCGGTGGTAGAAGTTTGAACTGTCGGTTTTAGTCCTAGGAGGCCTCGTTATCGTTCCAACCGACGGTGCAAGTATCACACCATCAATTATATCGCTATGGCAGTGAAAGTGACGATAGTGATAAATCAATTTGTAATAGTGAAATAAATTAACATCTAGAGTTGTAAGTTTGACCAACTTTATATAAAATAATATATCAATATCTATGACACTAAATAAGTACACTACAAACATATAGTTCCTAGTTATTGTGATAATACTGATTAATATTTGTGTTCTTCTCTATAAGTTTCATTAAAATAATAAAGTTTGACTTAGGGCAACTCAAGAAATTGATTTATTTGGGGATGGATGTAGTATTTTCGGAGTTTTCTACCCAAGTTAGGGACCTCTCTCAAGGCTTAGGAATTTTCAATTTTGCAGGTCTCACTTGGTCAATTTGGAGACCAGAAATAGAATGGCAACCGAGAAGATATTCCCTTATAGGCCAACTGAGATGATTTGTTGCAGAAATTAGATATTTTTTATAGAGAAATGATTTTATTAAATCATAATTATTACATCGAGTTGATACAATAATTATGAAACCACACAGACTAAAAATCAAAAAGGAGATTATGAGATTAGATCACTACCCATATGTCTGGGAGAAAAACACCGTAACTGATTAGGCCAATTGTTGCAAAACGGCTATAACTAAACGCTGAAGAAATATACATCTATACTCAAGAAAGAGTGATCACGAGACTGTTGCAAAGGTGGTGAACAAGATGAAGAGACCTACGAACTACTACCTCCATCCCCAAAAGAATACAATTCTAGCATATTGTCACGTTTTAATACCTTAAGTTTGACCAATTATAGATAAAAAAGTATTCATGTTTATGATACCAAATAAATACCATCAAATTAATTACGAATTGTATTTATAAAATAAATTAATTTAAAGACATAATTGTGAATATTATTCACTAAAAATTTGAGTCAAACGTGAACCACTATTTATGGCACGTAATCCATAGTTGTATTTTTTTTTAGATAGAGGTAGTACAAGGAACATGCTGTCGGATGTATCTAAGCTCAAAACCTTTTGTAAAAGGACAACTTTCTTTAGCGGGATCTTCTGCTCTTTTTGTTGTGCTCTTGTTAGTCCGGAATAATCCACCCCCAACTTTTATACTCGTAATTATGTTCCTTCGTTAAAACTGAGTAGTGAATCTTCTTTGAAAAGAAAATAGAATAGTGTGTGATCCTGAGAGCAACGATGATACTATATGCTTGATGGAGATGCTTGAACCACGGCGGCGCACGGCCAACCAATTCTAGGGCCTGTTTAGATCCTATGGGCTAAACTTCAGTTATTTATTTTTTGCCCACTTTTAGTCTTTAGAGAACTAAACAAGTGGACTAAAAGAGGAGGACTAATTTTTAGCCCCCATTAGTCCATTTGCCCCTCAAGATGGGGCTAAAAGAGGTAAAAAAAATGCTTCCACTCTCTTTCTCCCTTCTCTCATTTTCACCTTTTAGTCACCTGAGACCAAATAGCCATCTTGAACTAAAATTTAGAGACTAAACTTTAGTTCAAGGACTAAAGATCCAGACAGGCCCTTACATAACCAATGAGGCTTTATAATGTATGGGTAAAAGAGGAAAGTAACCTTTTCTTCTGGAGCTAGAGCACACATTGGCACTTGTGATGCCCAGCTTACTGTACAATATAGTAGTAAGTAGGAGCCGTCGTCTGGTTAACTAGAAAAGTGGTAAGCCCTTTTATCACTGTCGCTGCACCAACTTAGGTAGCTTCACGTCAGTGTTCTGGCTTTAGTCACTTGAGTTATTTTTGTATGGGATATACTAGACCGCTGGCGTCTCAGATCTTTTGATCCCTTTGAGACCTATTTATGCATATTCCTATTCGTAGCCATGCATATTCCTATTCGTAGATGAGCTGGTTTGGCTACGGGCTTCTACAGAAGCAGAGGAGCTTCAGGGGACCAGGCGAAGGGGAAGTCATGGCACGACCAGGTCGTAGGCGGCGAGTCACAGTGAAACGACGCAGCAGCCCACGGCGGCGGCACGGAGGCGGTGGAGCCGTCGTCGCACGAGTCCGCGGTCAGCACCAGGCGCGGCTGCGTCGACACGGCGCCACCCGCGCGTCCGATCCGAGGTGGCCCCGGCGTCGCCATCTCGCCTGCAGCAGCCGTGGGCCCTCCTCGCGCCTCGGCGTCGTCGCGCCCGCGCGTCATTGTTTGCTGGCTCGGTGGCCAGCCGCCGCCCCCGTCGTCGCTTGCGAGCGCGGCTGACGCGGCCGGGGAGGAGGCCTGCTTCGTCTTCGAGGTTGCCGCTCCCGCGCCGGACAGGTCAATCGACAGCCACTGCGGGCGCGGGAAGAGCGGCTGCGAGCCGTGCAGGTGCGGGCCCTCGTACGTGACGATCAGCCACTCCGGGTCGTCCGTGGATTTCTCCACGTGCTTCTTCGCGACGCATCGGGAGCTCGTGCACTTGTAGTAGCTCCTGCGTCACAGAAAAGCATGCACGCAAATATATGATCAGCCAGCCAAGTAGTTCATATAGCTTTAGAAACAAAAATAGTCCCTCTCTCTCTCTCAAAATAATTATTTACTAGTAGTTTAGCGTCATAATAATAAGATTTATAAGCTTTTAGATTCATCATGAGAATTACTTTCACAATATATTTTACATGTTGTTAAATCATACTACCCATCTGTAGGAACTCATGACGAAAGATTTAAATATTTTTTGTTTGATACAGTATAAAACTATAATAATCAGAGTTTGTTTTCAAAACGGAGGAAGTATCTGTCGTCAACGTGACCGAAACAAAATCTATTTTCCCTAAACAAGTGGTACGCAAAATTTTAAGAAAGAGTGCTAGACACATCGCTTCAGGTTTCCTGGACCTGAAAAGACAGGTCAGCTGAAAGACTGAAACCAACCCTTTTTAGTTAATTTAGAGCCAGTTAATGAGACGTAGATGGTTGTTAGTGGTTGCCGTGCCGTGCACATCTTTATTTATTGTTGGATGAAATATCTATCCTCCTGGGATCGTCAGTCCAACGGGTTGAATAATGATCGAGTGACAAGGAGGGACCGTGCACTCCTGCTGAAACTACCAGGCGCCGTTCGTTTGAATTTATCTATGATTTTTTCTCACAATAAATCAGTGAATAATAGTTTTTAGCTGGGCTCTTCAGCAAAACGAACAAGACGTATTTCAGCTTCTACTAGGCAGTAATAAGCGACAAGGATGACGCTATCAGCTCGCCTGTTTCTCTAATCTAAACAATAAACATTTGACAAGCTGGTCTTGGCAGGTTCCAGCAGGGAAGTGTAGCACCTTTCTTAATCTTAGTTCTACTGTGTCACATAAGTTTGCACTGTCTTTACACAGTGGCACCACAGAATGGCGAGATGGTTATATGTGACTCCGTACTCTTTTACTGCTAGCAAAGGCACTGGTATAATCAATAATCCACGAGATGGGTTGCATTGAATTAATACTCCATCTGTTCCAAATTATAAGGCATTTTGTGATTTCTAGAAACATAAATTTTGTTATACATCTAGATATACACTTATGTTTAGATACCTAGTAAAAACCAATGAATTAAAAAAGCCAAACGTCTTATAATTTGGACACTAGGTTGTCGTACGTTCCGTCAACGAGGCAAGCAGGTTTCCCTGTTATATGCCGCCATGGTTGCCTCAACACCAAAACGGAGCTCTTTTTTCTTCTACAAAATTTGCTCAAGTGCACTGAACACTGGTGGGGTCTGCCAGCTTACACTACAAACATAGAGGATACCCCGAAGGTAATAAAACACTCTTTCTAATCGGCCGAAAGAGAGACTTTTAGAAGTGACTGTGACTAGTGGCAGTAACTTAGCCAACGGTAGACTAGCCAATCTACTGAGCCAATACAAGATTCATATACCAATGTTGATGAGAATGCATCTGTTGATCTTGGAGTTGACCATTCTATGCTTCTAGGACATCTTCTAGGACAAGTGCACAAGTTGGGACAAAGGAGTCAAAGAATGCAAATACATTCAAAGAAGCAAATTCTCCTAGGCCTTGTTTGGATGCATGTGTATTCACTTTAATCCACATGTATTGGAGTGGAATAGAATGAAACTTAGCTTAATTCCACTCCAATCCATTTCAACACATGTGGATTGAGATGAATACATGCACATCCATATAAGCCCTTAGTGATGATGGAGAGACATGGGTTCAAGAGTGGAGGGCTTGAGAGGGCAAGGTATGGTGTGTGCCATACCTTGATCTAGGGGTTCAAGTGTGGAGGGCTTGGTATGGCAAGGTATGGTGCATGCCACATCTTGATTTGGCCATGTATACTCCTTCATTGCTTGACTGTAACATGTGTTCTCTTTACATATGGTCTATGTTAACCGATTTGTAGTGAGTTACATTATGTTTTGGACAGGGTCGTTGATCTGCTAAGGGAGGACCATGCAATAGGTGCTTCTGCACTTAAGGAGTTAGATAAGTATAGTATAAAGTTGTCATACTATGTGGTTTGGGATGTAATAAGAAACATAGAACAAATCATAGGTAAGTGAAATCATAGGTAAGTGAAGGCAGAGGTAGAGAGGACTAATCTTGGAAGTTTGGTGGCGATTTAATGCAAAAGATAGGAATAAGTGAGGTTTAAGAGGATGCTTGTCGACTTAAGACTTGTGTGGATGGGTTCTTCAAAGGGTGCAGACCCTTTCTTGGTGCAGATTCAACTAGGTTAACTAGGAGATAGAGGGGCCAACGGCCTCAGTAGGATATGGACACAATTGTTCTTTCCACTTTCCTATGGTGTTTTTAGTCAGACTAGCTAGGATTCTTTGAGATGCTTAAAAGGGCCAAGGGTCACCTCCAGGATTGGCGATATTAAAAAGCAGAGTTTGCTGACAGCTAACTGGGGTTCTTTTGAGATCCTTCAAAGGACCATACGGTCACCTCCAGGACTGCTGATATCCATGGACGATGCAGGCATGCAGCTAGGGGCATTGATAATATAGTGACAACGGTCTTCTCAAATTGAGTGGAGCACGTGAGGTCTGATTAGTTGCCTGCGTATCTCCTTATCCAGGGAGTCGTAATTCAAAGCCCAGTTGTTTGGTTTCCTAAATATCTCCTTATACAAGCTAGCACTCTCCCCAAAACACTATTTTCTTACATTAATGAGTACGCTCAAATTGGTCGTACCCATCTTTTCTCTCTTTGGAGACATCCGATAAATTACCCACCTTCATAGTTGCTAAAAATAAGCTAAAGTATCTGTAAATATACATCTAATTTATTTATATCTACTATGACCAAGAGCAACTCCACATGTTTCCTATAATTAACTTGCTAAACCAAAAGGTTTAGTATGTTATTAACAAACTAAATAGCAACCTTCATTTATTTTTGTTTTCAATTAGCTTTGTAAATGATTTTGAACCCCGAACTATTTTTAACCGACTAAACATTTTTTTAATAGTTTCTTTGTCTCTTACCGCTTTCTCACCTGGAATTTTTTAATTTTTTTAATTTACTCATGCGTCCAATTACCCTGATCTCCCTAGGAAAAGTTGGACGGGAGCGGATACGAGTTGTTGTATCGAAAGGAAATGGTGAATACATATTGAAAGGAAATATATATAGAATAATTGGTAACCGTAGTTTATCATAAACGGATAAAGATAAGAAAATTTCTATGTATACTACGGTTAAGAAAGTATTGTGATGATCGCAAAAAAAACATATTGTGTGGAGTACGAAGAAGTGAGAGAGAAAGAGAGCGCGCGCAGAAGATAGGAAATTTTGATTATTAGCTGTGTGCGGCCTAAATTTAGGCATGGATTTCTAACGTACACATGTATGTTAATAACGTTACTGATCCATGTATATGCGATTCGATGTCCTAGTGTGTGTTTAATTGGCACTAATCTTCTAGGACATTATTATGCTATATGGACTAATTGATCGAGCTAGCTAGACCCTACAATATCTAGAAGACTGGTACTACTTTGTATCGTCTTTCCGACACTGTGATCAGATTGCCAACATTAGCCAAACAATGTACGAATAATAATCATTGGGGGAAATTTCTTAGCCTAGCTACTAGAGGTGCAGCCTATTAGTGGTGTATATAGTTAGCTAACTGGTGAACGAACAACAGCTAGGAAATGAGTCTTGAGAAAAGTCACCATGGATCGGAGTAGGCCACACATGTCTCTCTAATTAATTACTCATTCAGTCCTTCTGTCAGCCTCTTTTCACTCCGTGGCATATGGGCATGTTCCTTTCTCTTATATCCATCTTTTTTTATCTTTTTCAGCTTATTTTTTCAGTCAGAACAATGTTTTTCTCCTCAATAAATCAGCTGAAACAATGTTTCGGTTTGTTTTCTCAGCGAAGCGAACAGGAGCCCACAAGCCAAGTAAAATCCCTATCTTTACTCTATTTGCTTGGCTGATAAGCTATGACTGAAAATACTATTGATTGACTTGTTATGAGAGAAAAATATTATTCGTGGTTGAAAAATTACTGCTTATAAGTCAAAAGCATTGGGACGCTTCTCGCTCGTGCCAGTACTTTGGTCTTCCCCGGTTCCCCGCGACCCCGCCAAAGGCCTTCATGGCCTCATCTGCCATCTCCAGTCATCCGCTCAGCTCATGCATGACTTGCACAGCCGCTAGCTGTGAGGGTCTGCATCCGGCACTAGCTACCGGTAGAAGCCAGAAACGTGTCCATCTCTGGCCTACCATCGGAGATCTAGCACTCACGTACTACATGCATCGACCGCGACAAGCCGACACTACACGACCGACACAACGTGCTGCTGCAGCGATTCTGCTCTCCAGCTGCAGCGAAACACTGCTAGTTCATGGCATGCATATGGCCGCACCGCTCCGGCGGCCGAGCGCAGGCGGGCGGACGTGTATGTGCGCTCGGCCGCCGCTCATGCCCCTGGGGCGCCGTGCCGGGATAGTTCACCTGCGGCGGCATTGTTCAAACTCTAGCATGCATATTAATTGCATGATTGCACCGACGATCATGCCATAAGTCTGACAAAATCTAGCAGCATGTTCGTTTCGTTGTAAGTGAATTATTTATTGTTGACTGGTTTGGTACGAAAGAAAAATACTATTCCAACTTATAATTCATGAGCAGCAAGCGAAAGGCTGTAGATGTGCAGTACGCAGTACAGTACTACAAGCGAAGCGACCTTTCACCTTTGAAGAACTAGCTAGCGCGCATATAGAAGCCCCCTTCCTGCGAGATTGCGCATGCATACATGACCCAGAATCGATCTATTTGCGATCCAATCGATATACGCGAAGAACAACGAACAATTTTATTTGAAAATTTTTCTAGTATGTAAGAGTTGGGTTTTTTTTTTTGGGGGCGGGGGGGCGGCGGGGGGATGGATCAACGGTCAAATTAAAGCCAAGAACGTAGTTCTGTATGAGAAGTAGATAGAGCTAAATTAAACTCTGCACCTGGGATGGGGGTTGTTCTTGATGGACTTCTGCCCGTACTTCCTCCACTTGTACCCGTCGCTCGGCGTCTTGCCGCCACAGCTCCTCACCTTCGTCGTGTACTTCTCCGGCGCTCGACTCGCCGCTCCCAACCTGCCACTTCAATTTTCAACCAAAACCCATATGCCGTCGTCAGCCTTCTAGCTTCCATCAACCCATGCACGGATCAGATACATGCACGTACAGATGCATTGGACTGTTGCGGGGGCTGCCCCAGGGATACGGCCTGGATGTCGACAGCGCTTTCTCGATGTCCCGGATCGTCGGGCCGGTGTACACCGAGCACAGGGCCCTGCTCGCCGCCTCCGGCTGCGGAAGCAGCTCGCCGCCGCCGCCGCTGATGCACGGCGCGGCGGGAGCAGATGACGGGCCTGTGTCACGAGAGCAGTGCTGCTCCGAGTCGCCGGCGGGGACCTGCTGCAGGGCGCCGAGGAGGAGGAGGCTGTCGTCGCTGAGGAGCTCGGTTATGAGCTGCTCGTCAAGCTCGCCGGGCCAGACGGCCACGTCAGCGGCGCCGGCCTGAGGGTGCAGCGCATAGTCGCCATCCCCATCTCCCATCAAGTACCGGTTGGAAACTAACAACCCATCTAAGGTAACGGAGTAATGGGACGACGGAAGACCTTTTTTATAGAAACGTACGCAGTTGGAATGACGCAGTGCGGGGGACAGGTACGATTAATTTGAACAGCCTGCTTTGTTAATTGTAACTCTTTTACTTTACTTAATTGCAACTAGTATTTCCTTAGCTTACTAATTCAAAGAGTATATGATTTGATATTCTGATCATATGTATTGGTGTCGACACTCAACTGTTCTGTGTGTAATACTGAACATTGTAAACGGGTTCTCACATTGGGAGACCTATGCTTACCTTTGGTGTTCCTTCGGGCAAGTTATTAGGGTACATCATCTACATGCTAAGATGAGATCGTGAAAAAAAATGAGAATGTATTAAGCTGCATTGCTGATCAATAAGGCAAAAGCTAAAGTCTATGGAAAAAGATGGACGGTTCATTTATAGTTCAACACCCTCTCTCACATGTAGGCTCCCTCTGGCTTTAAACATGGATAGAAGTTGATTATAATTATCATATTTAATTGATCCTGACAAAATTAAAACTCAAGATATCTATTTAGATTTTTTACTAAAAAGTTGTATTTCTAAGCTTTCAACTTGCCGATGGCTTTCTGCTATTAGTTTTCGTAATAAATCTTTAGAAGTTGACTATAATTATCATATTTAATTGATACTGACAAAATTCAAACTCAAGATATTGTCGGGTATTGATATTAGGGATACCCAAAGCAAGGAAGTTAGCGCCCACGCTGATTTCTCCGGATGGCTCAAGACGTATTAAAAAGTCTCGAGCGAACCCCAAGGCCGCGGGCTCCGTCTCGCCCGACCCCAAGGCCACAGGCTCCGTCTCGCCCGACCTCGAGACCGCGGGCTCCGTCTCGCCCGACCCCTTGGGTGCAGGCTCCGTCTCGCCCGACCCCAAGGCCGCAGGCTCCGTCTCGCCCGACCTCAAGGCCGCGAGGCTCCGTCTCGCCCGACCCCAAGGCCGCGGGCTCCGTCTCGCCCGACCTCGAGGCCGCGGGCTCCATCTCGCCCGACCCCTTGGGTGCGGGCTCTGTCTCGCCCAAGGTCGCGGGCTTCGTCTCCCCCGACCTCGGGGACACGGGTTCCGTCTCGTCCGACGGGGATCCATACCGTCGCCAACCACTCCAGGTCCAAGAGTATGGGCCTGGGTCAAAACTCTGACACCAGGGAAGAGGCTAGCACGCCTCGATGTAACCCGTGGCCATGACGGGCCATACCTGGGGATTCACATCAAGAACAGTGTCGGACGTGCCAGTGTCGTTCTGCCTAATTCCCGTACGGACGCTGACAGGCGTGTCAGTTCACTACGACGTCCACCGGGACGGAGCGGAACGCCATGATCGGCGGATGACGCCTGCGCATGGCGCCGGTGACGAACAGGGCCACGACATGGAACCGTCCCTGTTGACATCTACAGGATCAGCGGGACCCGCATGAAGAAGAAGAAGGATCCGGCAACCCTGGAAGCCTTCTTCTCTCTCTCATTCTTCTACTTTTCCTCCTCTGTAACCCGCGCTTTTGAAAGGTCCTTGTTTGGTTTTGGTAATTGAGTGACAACCTTAGGTGGACTAATGTGTTTAAGTGAGATACACAGGTGATTAGTCCACATATATATGTGTGTGAGCAACATATGACATGACAGTGATGATGGCTCAAAGATGTTGCAAAGCTCACACATGTGATGATGAAGGAGCTTATTGCACATGAGACTTGACATGGAGTCATGTGATCAAGGTGGAGAAGATCAAGACATGACTTGGCTTGATAGACCGGTTGCAAGCATGAAGGGTAAGTTGGAGGCTTTGGAGTGATAGACCGCGTGGCGGTGAAGCTTGAGCAAGACTTGGCACCGATGGACGAAGGCAACGGTGAAAAGCAAGTGAAGTCAAGATCGATGAACCAATGCGGTCACATGATGATATGAAGTGGATCATATCATTTGGTGATTGGTTGGTGCATGTGTTGCATCAACAATGGAGGAGATGGAATGGAATGCCCAAGGCAAAGGTATAACCTAGGGCATTTTATTTCACCGGTCATAGGTGAGTAGAGAAGTTTATGACCGGGTTTAGGATAGATGGCTGTACTATCAAGAGGGGTAAAATTATTTGTATATCGGTCATCTAGTGCCACTCGAGTGATCTAACTTTGCATAGTCGCTAGGATCGAGTGGTGTGGCAAGTTGAGTGGTTAACTCCTTGAAAAATGTTTGTGAAAAGCTAACACACGTGCACAAGATGTTGTACACTTGGTGGTGTTGGCACATTTGCATAGGAGAAGAAGTTGGTGAAGAAAAGGAGTTGAATGCGCTGGTCACGGGGTGACTGGACGCGTTCGATATGAGTACCGGACGCGTCCAGTATCTGTCTCAGGCGGCAGTGTTCCCGACGTGACCGGACGCGTCCGGTATTCTGGCCAGGTGCGGGCAGAGTTGACGAGGTGACCGAACTCTGGCTTAGTGGAGTGATCGGACGCTGATGAGTTACTGTTCAGCATCAGGTCAAAGTAATGTAGCCCGAAGCAGAATTGCAGAGAGCAATTGGACGTGTCCGGTTGCCACACCGGACACGTGCGGTATAAATCAGCAAGTCTCGGGTTTTTAGCGCAATAATTGATCGGACGCTGGGAGCGTCTGGTCCGGTGTGATCGGACGTGTTCGGTCGGCCCAGAGTGGCTCTAGGAGCTCTCTGGACTCGACCGAACGCTGCGTCTCCCGCGCCCGGTCGTTTTCTAACGATGCGTCCGATCACATGGTATTACTGTGCGCAGTGATAGCCATTGGGTGCGAATGGCTAAACAATTTGAAAGGGACACGTGGCGGTCAGGCTGCGACCGGACGCATCCGGTGCACACGACCTGCGCGTCCAGTGAAGGGGTAACGGCTATTTTAGCCTGTGGGGCTATAAATAGAAGTGGTGGTCGGCCTTTGGCTGGTAGCTTAGCACACTAGAGCCTTGGTGGCTTATATGGTGGTGCTTGGGAGCCCTCTAACTCACTCTAGTTGGATAGTGTTCATCCGATTGACTGAGTGAGCGATTCTAGTGCGATTGCATCATGAGGTTGCATCGAGTGGCACTAGGTGGTCGTCTTGCAAGCCGATGGTGCTTGTTACTCTTGAAGGTTGCCACCTCCTAGATGGCTTAGTGGTGGTCTCCGTCGAAGCCCGCAAGAAGCTTGTGCGGTGCTTCGGAGAAGAGCTTTGTGAGGGGCATTGTGCTTGCCCCGTGGGAGCCGCGAAGAGCAACTCTAGTAGAGCGAGACACGAAGGGCGACAAGTGGTCCAGCCGGGTCAAGTGCTAGAGCTTGTGGTAAGCACTCCATGTGGGAGAGTGTGACTTGCGGGTCACCACTAGTAAGAGGACCAGCGGCAACCTTGGAGCTTGTCTCAACAGGGACGTAGCGTGTTGGCAAGCACGTGAACCTCGGAAGAAAAATCACTGTGTCAACATTGTTCTTCCCATTAGTTTGCAATCCCCTTACACAAGCTTGTAATTACTTTCATATACATTATGCTTGTGTAGTTGCTCTTGTAATTAGTTAGCTTGTGTAGCTCACTAGTTACCTTCTTACTTGTTTAGCATAGAAGTAGCTCCCTTACGTGGCTAATTTGGTGTGTGTAACCTTATTAGTCACATTGTTTAGTTTGTGTAGTTAAGTATTTGTGCTCTCTAATTTGGCATTGGTTGCCTTGTTATTGAGCATTGCTAGTGAGCTTAGGTGGTTTTATTCTTTTGCTTACTAGCATGTGTAAGAGCTCCCTCGTTGCTTGAAGTACTAGTGGCATAGGTTTATGTGACCTTGCTTCTAGAATTAGTTCGGTGAGCTCTAGCTAGCCCGGCACCTTAGTTGCTTAATTAGGATCTTTACAAGGTGCTAGAGAACATAGATAGAGGGGTGTAGTCTTGGCTAGACCGATAGTTTTAATTCAGCACTTATTTCGGTTAGCCGACGTGATTAATTTTAGAAAGGACTATTCATTCCCCCCTCTAGTCCGCCATCTCGACCCTACAGCTTTCCCTTCGTCTATAAAAGGGGAAGCAGGGCGCCCTATGCAAGGGGATCGGGACACGAAAAATCGGAATACAAGAGCACGACACGAGCACACGGCTGAGCGGCAATCGAGCTCTCAGCACCTGTTCACTCCTTCCACCAGAGACTTGGGATCCTCTCTCTCTCGCCTGTTTGTAACCCCCTACTGCAAACCAAGTGCCGGTAACACGAGTAGCAGTGAACTGGACGTATGGACGTTCCGCCTGAACCAGTATAAACCCTTGTGTCCTCCGAGCACACCATCCGAGCCAGACGCACAAATACAAATTTACTCGTCGGTGGTCCGAAAACACCGATATATATATATATATATATATATCTTGACTTTTGACTAAAAAGTTGTATTTCTAAGCTTTCAACTTGCCGATAGTTTTCATAATAAATCTTTAGCTACTCAGCAAACCAAAAGCTCGAAAAACCACTCAACTAGTTTTCGGCTTTTAATCCATTTTGTCATATAAGCCAATTTTTTAGGTTTCCAAAAGACATCCCAATAGCTTGGTTGGTTGTTTCAACCTTTACATCAACAACAAACCCAAACAAAGAAAAATACAAAAGCGGCCCCAATAGAAAGGCAAACAATGCAATTTATTCTCTCATCCCCATTTACGTTGCCTATCAATGTAACACCCTAGGTGTTTGGCTTCCACGAAATTGCATGTCATTTTATAAACATATGCATCATCTATGTCATCATGCCATTGTCACTGAAACGTACATATGCAACATTCGCAAATTCTGTTTGTTTCATACTTGATTGCTTATGAATGGTAGTAGTGCAACATGTGAATGTAACGTGAATTTCTCATACCTTGAAACATGGCAACATGGTAGTAATGTGACAAGTATAAAATAACAACAAAGTCATGAAACATGTGAAACATTGAATTGCAACATTTGGGTGAAT